ATTAGCATGATGACATGGCGTGGGGAAGCTCCTCCTCAAGCATCTCAGGTCTGGGTTGCTCGAAGGAGGAGAATGATCTTGTGGTTCCTCCATGGCTTGAGGAGGATGAAGACTTGATGCAGGTCTCCTCCTCCATCTCCACTAAGCCGGTTGGTGGGGAAGCTCATCGTGGGTGACCTCCAGCGGTGCTCCGGTGTGGGTCTCCTTCTCCTCCTTCCTCCTCCTCCTCCTCCTCTTTCCCTATTCTTTTTCCTGGTTCTTGTGTGTGCGAGAGATTGAGTGAGGGAGAAGGAGAGGGCTGATGTGTGGTGTTAGTGTTGGGGCTGATGTGTGTGGCCAGGGGTTAGTGTGTGTGGATAGCGCATGATTTTGCATGTTATAGGTGCACTAATACAGGAATCAATTTGCGCAGCGTGGCCAAAATGGGCTCCGTGGCGGACACCTCTTTTGCCCACCACGGTTAACCGGTGGCCGGCCACCGAGGTGCCCGCTGTGGGAAAAGGGTTTACCGCGGCGGGCCACCTTACTTGCCCGTCGTAGGAAATCGTTATTTACCGCGGCGGGCTATTTAAATTGCCCGCCGCGGTAAAGAGTTGATTTACCGAGGCGGGCGCTTTATCTTGCCCGCCGCGGTAAAGCCTGTACAAATACACAGCACCACCCCTTCATCTTCTCCACGGGTCTTCCTCTCTCAAACTCATGGGGGGAGGCTTTGCCCTAAAATTTGAGGAAACTTTTAATTTGAGTTGAAGGGCTTGGATTTGAGGGAGGACATCATAAGAGGTTCATAAAGGCTCTCCTTCCATCCTCTCTCTCTATTTCCATCACCTAGAGTTCTCTCTAGATCTAGATTAATTTTAATGGAAAAAATGATGTCATGTATTTCTTTAACTTTAGATTCATCGTAGATGCATGCTTCATCTTTCACATCGTCATTTCCTCTCTTTTTCATGATTTTAGACGTAAAATCATCAATTTCTCCTAATTCTTCTTTATTTAATGTTGATTGTGACGGATAATGTTCGTAGGTATGATGGATAGGTCAAAATGGATGTACCGGATCGATAGAGTGAATGATCCATGGTACCTCTTTGAATTAAGGAAGTTTATTGCTGCTGGTAAAGCTCACCGTGAGAGACTAAAGCGGATGACAACCATATGTCCATGTTCTCGTTGCAAGAACCTGAAGGCCCACCGAGACAGCGAGGTGCAAACTCATTTGATCATGTATGGTTTCGTCGAGGGCTACACAGTCTGGACATTTCACGGCGAAAGAGTTGGTGCTAGTGGCGGTGCATCCGAGTGAGCTTCGACGACGCCGACGACAGCAGCACCACCCGGTGAATAAAGATCCTTTAGGAGCACCGGCTCCTCATCATCTTCGGCAAAAAATCGCGCGCCCGACCGACAAGGATGACGCGGTTTGTCGTGATTACATCACGGTGGATGATCTAATGCAAGACATGGCCGACGAAGCCGGCGACGGTGGGGATGGTCAGGATACTGTGAGCCAACCCGAGGATGTGCAGCTTGTTGAAGATCTAGTCAAACACTTCGATGAAGACGACGTTGTGTTGGGTTGCCCAAAGTGGTTGGAGAATTTCAGAGAGTTGAAGCAGGCGGCAGTTGATCCTCTCTATAAGGACGGCGGCGATTGTCCGAAGGAGTGCACGGCGCTCTGTTTTAACCTCCATATGTTGATGTTGAAGGCTCGTCATGGTTGGTCTGACACTAGCTTCAATGAGTTGTTAAGCTACCTTGCCATGTGTCCACGTATTCTGTCGGACTATCCAGTAGTGTCCATTGAATCATCTTGTGAGTCACATGTAGGTGCAGATTGTGCAAGTCTAAATGAGTGCATCCACGGACTGTCCAGTAGTAAGGGCCGGACTGCCCGAGTAAACATTGCAGAGCTCAAAATGTGCAGAATTTTGTATGCATGGTTTCTTTTTAAAAGCGAGATTTGAATGCTAATGATGCTCATGATAACGATGATTATGCAGTTGGACGGATGGGTCATGATAAGAACTATTTCAAATCACCCTACTAGACACTTCTATACTTTCTTTCTCTCTTGTACATTTGTATCAAGAACACTATCCTTTCTCTTCATTGTTCCCCATGTCGATCATTCTTTTTCCCCACTGTTGGTATTTATTAACGCAAACAGTGAAATCCGCAAGCGTACGGATATCGTTGTAGCTTTTATCCAGGAGTATTCCAGGGTATCGTATTTATCCTTAGGGAAGCAATGGTTAAATAAGTTGATAATTAACCATCATATATCTACTAACTAGTATACCGGCTAAACTAATCTGGGGGTAAGTGATAAAATAGGAGTTTTGTATAAATGACACACGGGAGAACTCTACGATAAGATAGAATAGTAGACAAGCTAAGTTGGGAGGACAACGGGTGTGTTCAAGGTTCCTATATACTTCTTTATTACTATGGTTCTATTCTAGTTCAGACCAGAGGGGATAACTAAAGCATGGATAAGTTTGGGACATCAGAACACTAGCCACGAAAATGGATGAGAAAGGGGCTAGGAAGCTCCGACTACGGTCCTGCAAACACCAACCCCAACATGGTGGAATACATAGGCCGTCAGGGCTGTCACCACCTGGAGCTACCATAGCTATCCGTGGGGTTGGGTGACATCTCAGATAACCTATAGGCTAGACACCATGTCAAGTCTATCGATTACTACTCTAGTTACAATCTATAACTAGAGCACTCTATGCGAGCGGAGATCCCATGCTAAGGAGTAGAACCCCTATACTAACCACGCTTAGTTAACCAACTATGGCATGATCTGGATAACCATGATAAACATTGTAGTAATTAGAGAAGATAAATATATTAATATTATAGTCTTACAAAGGAACGTTACAAGAATATACCAGACCTCCGAGGATTTCTCCGGAACTTGAGCATTTCTCCTTAACTCCCAACTAGCCTATACTACTATTACATCTTGAAGAATAGAATGGAATTGCACCCTGAGGTGTGTGAATGAGAGGGAGTGAGGTGGTATTTATAGTTTGAGAGGAGGAATGGAGGCCACTCAATGTGCCATGTCAGTGATTCATGTGCTTCTTCACCATGGCCCTTAGATCAAACCGTCGTAAGATCAATAATGGAGATGGGATGGAGTTGTGCTTCTTTGCATGCCTCCCTGTATTGAGGCGGTGGAGCAAGGGGAGGTCAGTTTGGTGCCTTCGTCCGCTCCGGTACGTCGTCTACCTTTGGTGCTGGTTGTGGACTGCATGGGAGCAGGTGGGGCCCGGCTGCATGCTGCCCATTTGCGTGGATGTGGTGACTGCAGCCCTCCGCTGGCGTTGACTATATTGAGCTTCATTCTTTGTGAAATTAATATCTTTTTACTATGAGTTGTAAATATAGCAAATGATATGTCCGTTTTGATCATCTTGACGAGCTCTTCGCAATGGAGCGCTTCAAATTTTTTTTTGAGACTGTTTTGCTACGAAAGAAAATTTGAACTTCTTTTGTTCCTGATTTTCGCCAAACTATATATGTACTATTTAATATTTTTTGATGCACATTTTGGCATATCCTGCAAAACAAATCTATAGAACAAAAACTCGTGGAACTTATTAGATAAAAGACCTATCTTGCTCAAATGTATTTTATTTGTTGTCATTTAAATATGCTATGATGGGCAAAATATTTGAGTTAACGATCGCCAACATCCACCTCCAAATTGGCGTGACACTTTGCTCGCTCCTGAAGCCACGAACACTTCAGAACCCTTCTACCTGGTCGTAGCCACTCCTAGCCAGACGCAGCCACCACCACCCAGCTACGGCTAGCCATGACCAGCGACAGCTAAAGGTGGCCAGGTGGTAGCTGCAGCCAGCCAGGGGTAGTTGGGGCAGTCAAAGGCTTCCAGTGGTGGCTAGGGCATGCCAGAAAGAGGCTAGAGCAAAGTAACATCGAGAGAAGTCACCCCCATGAGAATTAGAAGTTGGCCCCCACGCTTATTTTTTCACACATATCTATCGATTTTCCAAAGTGTGAAAACATTGGAAGTTGGAATAAAGAGTTGTGGAGAAAACTCAATCCCATATATCTACTTAGAGGGGATTGAGAAAACATGATTTCTAGTTTTAGGGGAGCGATATTACGACAATTTCAGAATACGCATCTCTTTTATTTAGGTGGGACCCACCTGTCAATGGCTAAAGGCTTCTTCCTCCTCGGTCCCTCTCTTTCAACCTCTTGTCACGGCTCCAGAGCGGCACCCCGGACGCGGCGGCGTGGCCGGCCTGCCTGGCGCGGTCGGTGCACTCGCGTGCCCGCTCGGCCGGCGCTCACACGATAGCTCTCTCAGGGACCCACGCGTTAGTGACAGGATGAGGGGGAAAGGGGATTGAGAAAAAATTGTGGCAGTTCCCCTGGATTTGAGGGATTGACAAAAAGGACAGGGAAAGGGGATTGAGAAAAAGGGATCTGCTCAAGCAGTTTTTTTATGTCATTCACCTATACGGCTGTTCCCAGGAAACATGATTGTTTTTCTCAATTTGGTGGAGTTGCTAATTATGCTATAAACAGGTCCGTTTATATAAAATAGTTTTTACTGGGTGCATTTGTAAAGGTAGTTTTCGCAAAGGGCTATTAGTTTAGTTAGCAAAAAAAAAAGACACCAACGCGTACTGCCTGTTTGATCAGGTTTGGAGTCGTCCAGCAAACTAACGACGGTCCCCGGGTGTGGCCGTTTCCTCACGCGGCGTCGTCGTCGTGGTCTTTTGCGCGTGGTCTACGCTAGTCAAGCGCGCGGCAGCTTTTACTTTAGACGCCAGACGGCAGCCTGCACACAAACTGATCGAGCTGTGTGCATCAGATCTTTTCACTTCCGCTGCCGTACCGTACGTAGCGAGCTGAGGCTTGCAATTCCAGCGCCCTTAGCCCCTTACCACCTCCGATCCGTCGAGGCCGTCGACCGACACCATACCACCACCACCGCGAGCCCGGTCGCGATGATGAGCGGCGGTTCCGGTGATCATCAGCGGCAGCGCAACTTGAGCAAAACCGTCTCACTATCAAGGAGCGTGGTGCTCACCCAAGATACCTGCATACCCAGCGTGCTCATCTTGGGCAAGCTTCTCCGCGTCTCCTCGGATGGTGCCAGCGGCAGCGCCAGCGGTGTAGACGACATGGGCTTGGTTCGCACCAGGCTTCTTCGAGACTGGGCTGCTGCATCAGGCACCGTCAACTTGTGGCCAGTCACGGCGGACGGTGCCTTCCTAGTCCAGTTCCAGCAAGAGGCAGATCTAACAAGGGTCATGGACGGCGCGCCGTGGTGCTGCGACGGCGGCCTCCTTTTCCTCATGCGCCAAGCCAAGCCGGAGGTGAACCTGGTCGACCAGCTCGCCGGAGTCGGCTTCACCACCGCCGACCTGTGGGTGCAGTTCCACAGCGTCCCCGTCGAATACTTCAACACGGCTTCTCTCTGCGCCCTCGCGACGCGCATCGGAGTCCCAGTTGTGTTGCCCGACCTCGGCACGGCGCCAGTCGACCTACTGCGTGCCCGTATCCAGGTCGACATCACGGCGCCGCTCGTCCACTCCATCCCCGTCGACCTGGACGACGGAAGGAGCGAGCTGGTGTCCGTGGTGTACGAGGGAATCCCCAGCTTGTGCCGCTCCTGTGGGATCATCGCCCATCCGGCGGGCCGCTGTTGTCCCAAGGTAAACCTGCAGACTGCCGCGGCCTCATCACGTTCACGAGGAGACAAAGCTGCCGGCTATGTTCGGAGCCGCCTCGGCTCAGGAACATCGTCGTCGTCGAGAGAAGAGCATCAGCCACTCCTTGGCAAAGAGAAAGATGATCATCCCATTTCGACTTCCACCGGCTGCTCTTCTGCTTCTGCCACCGCCGGGTCTGGATCTGCTATGCTTCTGCCGCAGCCAAAGCCAGGGGAGCCCTCTGCTGACGCGGATCATCTGCTGGTGCCGGAAACACCAGGTCCACAGCACCACGTCTCGGTCAACCGCTGCATGCCATGTAATTTCCGCAACCTCATCTTCCGCAAGAAGAGAAAGGAGCTTGTCCGAGAGGACAAGGCCAGTCATGGTGGAGTTAACAACTTGCAACATATGCCGACGACGAATCACAACCACCAGACGTTACTACTAACCTTCTCAGCACCGAATGTTCAGGTATCACATCCACACCTTCCCCCATTGAGTACAACACTACGTACTAGTAATAGTAATATAAATCACCTACAACATTTCGATGAAATATGAACTCACCGTTGTGGTAACTTTGAATTCTCTTTAAACTATATATAATTCTAGAAAATATGATTTTAGGTTAAAGTGTAAATCATTAAGTTGAATTTGTCGTTTCAATTAGCCTTTATTTGGACTTGTATTTGCAATTTTAAGTGGAAATGTTGAACTTTAGGTTATGTTTTGCACAGTAGGTAGTGTTTTAAATCCATTTGTTAATTACATTTAAAGCCTTGTTTCGATGCACATGTATCTCCCTCAATCCATGTGTGTCGGAGTGAGCTGGGGTTACCCGGGTTAAGGGAGATACATGTGCACAAACAAGCCATAAAACCTCAAGTTATTCTAAGTATGGAATATTTTGTTGCAGGCAGGAGTCTTTGACAATGATGGAGCAGCAAGAGACAAGTCCAGACAGGCGTGCACTAAGTACGCTCACAAGCTTCCAGCTTGCCGGTGGTTACGTCAGCTATTATCCGTACTCAGGGTCGAGAAGGAACCCGAGGATAGAAGTCAAGGTGGAAACGCAGTGCTCATCACACCTAATGAATAAGTCCATGAAATGGCTTGCTGAAAATACAGGTCAGCACAACGCGACCCTATGCGCACACATGGTGACATGAATTTTCTTCATTACCACTACACCAAAACGAAAATTTCTTGAAGATCAAAAACAGCGAAGTAAAATACAAAAACCACAAGAAAATAATGTTTCTTGAGGGGCGACCATCAAGCAAAGAGCTTGTTTGGTTAAACCTTTCTATATAGGGATTAGGGAGAGAGATGGAGATTAACGGCATATATATATTTAGTTTTTAGAACCTTAGAAAGTTGGTTGGCTCAGGTAACAATTTAAGACATCTGATGTTAGTTATCTGTGATTGGATAGAGCTCTCTGAGGCAACATTTTTTCTAGGCTTCGATATATACATCAGCCCCAAATCCCTTCTGCGCCGACATGGTTTACCCCAACAATGCAAGCTTATGGTATAAATTATAGTGAGGAAGGGTAACAAGTAGGCTCAATTTGTCAAATGCTAGATTCTACTATTTTACACACTATGTCAAGTGCTACATCACGATAGGAGCTCTTACTCATTTCTTGGTCTGTTTTTTTCCCGTGTGCGGGACAATTGCAGGTTTAAAGGCTTCGTTTGATGGCAAGAGAGGCGTAGTTAGTATTGTTGGTCTGCAAGTCGATCAAAGGATGGGCCCGCTTGATCTAGTGGCGTATCTCTACCATGAGGCCGGCCCAAAGAGCGGAGTTTCAGAGTCCCCGAAAAAGCCTGACAGCCCAGCGAGATTTGAAGATCTGATGAAAAGCCTTCTTGACGAGAACGGCTGCAGCAAGGGCGCCTCCAGCTCCACACGATTTAGTTTTGGCTAACCCTATGCTAGAGAATGCAACTGCGTGTGCACCCTAGTTTAATTTAAATGACAGTATTCTCGCGTACGTGTAGCCTTGTTTGGCCGAGCTTAAGATTAAAAAAAAACTTGCTTCAGCCAGCTGCCCTTAGAAACAGCTTTTTCAAGAAATTCTGGAGGAAAAAGCTATTCCATCCATTCCAAATTACAAGTCATTCTAACTTTTTTAAAAGTCAATGCATCTCAAGTTTGACTAAAATTATGAGATCTCTACTTCTGTTTAGGCGGCAGCTACCAGCCATCAGATCTCTATCCAACTGCCCAAATCTCTTTGCACTTGTTTCTGTACACAGGCACAAATCTTCAAGAGATATCAACAGACCACATGTTGCCTGAACAGATCAAGAATTCCAGGCGACGAGACATAGGAAAAGTGCAAAATTATAGAGAGAATTACAAATATTTATGAAATCAAATAGGTATACTATGAAAATATAATTAATGAAGAATCTGTTTACACCGAAATTTGGAAGGATACACCGAAGCCCAAAAATTAGGGAAAGCTTCTGAATTGCATTGCGCACAAGATCGGCCCATGAGCAATTAGGCCCGCAGAGCCAGAATTGGGCCCATAACAAGCACGAGAAAGCAGGCATGATTGGCATCGGCTAAAACATGAAGGAATCAGACTCCACCAGGAAGGAAAGCATGGAGTCCAATCTATCTAAATTAGAATATTTGCTTTATTTTCCAAGTTTTATAATAGTCTTATTCGACTAGGACACGTGTTGAGCCCAGGATATAAATATGTAACCCCAGCTATTGTAATGGACATCCAATCAAATCAATACAAACCGGCTCTCATGCCACAAACCCTTAGGAGTAGGAGTAACGTAGAATCTCGACGAGTTCTTTGGTAGACAGGGTTGCATCGCTCTGATCTTCGGTTTGCTGTAAATACCGTCATGACTATTGTTTTATCTCGTTAGGCTGCATCACCTCGATCTCTAATGTGGTTTAATTCTAGTTAGCTATCGATTTGTATCTTGATTAAGTAAGGCTGCATCATATCTAACCTCTTGCTTAGTTTTGATATCAAATCACGTTATCGAATCTATTAGAGATTAGTAAGGCTTCCTTTCTCTTTTTAGTAGACTCGCCAGTTATCGATCTTGCTATCGTTAGTATCATTATCAATTATAGAAATATCACCAATTTACCTGATTGAGATCGAGAAAATCGGCATCGTATCATATCAATCTGTCGTCTTTTTGCTATATTACGTTTGAACCCTCTCTTGACGATGGATTCTGCTAGATCGGCTATTTTATCTTTCTCCTGATCAAACATAGTATGCATTCAAGGCATGTTTGACCATAAGTAGGTTTATTGACTAGTGAGATTCGAATCTATCGTTCATTATCATAGCTACATCGCTTTGAACCTTATTGATAATGCTTTAGGTTAGAGATTGCTAGTTAACGAATCTGTTTATGGCTGGATATGACCTTGTTCGTTTGCTATGCTTTCTCATCGGCTCTATAGCCGATGGTCTGTGCTGTCACTTATAGCAATGCTTTCATGACTCTATTGAAGTATGAATAGATCTATCGACTTTTGAGCTTTAGTTTATTATCTTTGCCAAGCACTGTATCACCTCTGAACTGTTTGGTAGTAATAGTAGATTAGATCTAATCTGTTTATAGATTTATTTATATTAAATAGTTGATTGTCTGCATGCTATACCTTTAACTTCTCTGCATCAGCTATATAGATGATAGCCTGTACTATCATGTCTTATCTCTTTGATGATTGTCTTGGTTAATCAGCCAATGTCGGTATATTTTACCTTTATCAATCAATCAATGCAACTGCGCTTAATTATATGATTTTTTTACTGCATTTTTCCATGTTTGATGATCATGGGCTATTGGATCTATATTGCTATCATTTGATAACAGCCGATGGCATATGTTTCAATTATTTTATATCATTGATATCGATTCTCTAGACAACACCTTATCCACCGGCCCCTGGCCATACATTGGAATTGTTCAAAACACCAGCCGATACGTTCCACCTTAAGGTTACTGATGATCTTTCTCTCCTTGTCAATTACAGGGTCAAATTGACTGGCACGCCAACGAACTTAAAACCGGCTTGTCCTGCAGGAGCCAAAGCGAATCTCATAGGCTTGTCATGTGTCCTGCGCGGTTAGATTTTCACATCAACATAATCTAATGATTCTTATTTTGTATCATATATATTAGTATTTTATTATATAAATTTAGTCAAACTTCATATATTTTGACTCTCCAAGAAAGTTAGATTGACTTATAATTTAAGATGGAGGGAGTACCTTTTTCTAGTTTGGCTTGTCTATCGCCTTTTCTCCTATGAGACATACTCGTATGTCATGGAGAGGGAGACCTCGAGTGGGGGTGTTCCACTGGCCGACCATCGTTGGCGTGAAGCAGACCTTGAGATATCGAGCTTCTCATAATACCACTCATATCCATAAAATTATTATATTGAGAAACATAAGTCTTTTTTCTTGTAGGGCATTTTATTTCATAAGTCTAAGATGTTTATAGAAGAGCATTAGTCAGATTTAGGATAGATAGCTCTACTATCAAGAGGGGCAAATATATTTGCCAATCAATAATCTAGTTTCACTAGATGAGATCTAACTCAAGAGTCCATTTAGATCGAGTAGAGTGAGAAGGAAGCAAGTGAGGACCTTACTATCAAGAAGGGCACATATATTTGCCGATCAGTAATCTAGTTTCACTAGATGAGATCTAACTCGAGAGTCCATTTAGATCGAGTAGCATGAGAAGGAAGCAAGTGATGACCTTTGCAAAAATGTTTTCAAAATGCTACCTTAGTGCTAAAGGTGTTTTTTGTCTTGCGGAACACCCTTTGGAGTTAGTGCATTTGAAAAACAGTTTGAGAAGCTTGATGGGGTATTTTTACACCCACCAGAACTGTCTAGTGAGGAGCACTAGAAGTTAGCAAGCCATCCGTTGCTAGTACAAGTGTCTGTCTTTTCCTATGCAGTGGCGTCGGATTATTTAGCTCTGGCAATACCTAGCAACGCGATCGCGTAGACGGATCCAGATGGTAGTACATGAGACACAAGGATTTATACTGGTTCAGGGCACGGTAGCGCGCTAAACCCTACTCCAATGGTGCTGCTACTCTTGTATTCGTATACTCAATTACAGGGGCTATTTGTAACACCTCTGGTGTTTGGACCTAGAACTAAAACTTGGCATGTCATCATATGCATTGCAAAGCATTTATAAAGAAGAAAATTTGGAATGCATTCACTAAATAAGATTTGTTTCATAAGTTGTTATTTTATGTGATGCAATGTGATTCAAAACGTTAAACAAAGATCATGACCACAAGGGTCAAATTTCATGTGATCATGTGAGACCATGTGTCATTTGACACAAACAACACTAATGGGACATGTTACTAGTCAAAAATCAAAGTTAAAGTAAAAGAAAGATAAATCAAATTTGAATTCAAATTTAAATTATAAAAGTCCTTTTTGCCCCTTTTGGATATTTCAAAATCCATTTGGAATTTGGGGTTGTGACAAAAAGCAAAGTTGGAGCTTATTTTATAAGGATCAACTTTGGTATTCAAAGTTTTTCAAGTTTACATATAAAATTTGGAGTAATTTTGAAATTATTCAAATGCTCAAATGCAACCCAAATTCAAACTTCAAAATGGAGGTAGAATTTGAAAATATTTCTAGAAGCAAAGTTGTAGAGTTTGAAAAATTAAACAACTTTCATTTTTGGAGATTTTCATCTTCTTTAGAAAATTTGTGAGTAATTTGAAAAAATGGACGCAGTGGCAGTTCTGTAAATTTTTCAAAAATCAACCTCCACCTCTCTGCTTGCCGTCGGTGCCACGCGGAGGTCACCGCCGATCGGATTTCGCCGCTTTCATGCGCAGTGACACGCCAATACCTCCGTGGCGAGTTCGCCGTGTCTTCATCAACCCCCGCACCCTCCTTCTTGCTATAAATAGGAGCACGCCGTCGTCATTTGGAGTTTTTCCGTCGACCGCTTTCGCCCGTCGGTGTCTTGCCCCTTTTCGCGCAATTAATTCGTCCTCGCCAGTAGTATCTAGGGCCAATTGCTTTGGCCGAAGCTCAAATCTCGTCTTCCTGCTCATCCCAAGCCCGATCGTGTCGCTCACGGAAGTCTAAGTAGCCATTGTGTGACTTCGTCTTCTTTGGAGCCGGCCGGAGCTCCGCCATCCTCGGTCTCACGTGGTCCCGTCGATTCGGTACATCTCCACCTTCACCGAGCCTACCTATGTGATCACGGTGAGCTTCTGAATGTGAAAACAGTTTCGCTTTAGTCCCTACTGCAGCGTCACCGTGGCTACGCTGTACACCGTTGTTCTCAGTCTACCATGCCCGGCGTGGAGGTGTCTCTAGGGCATCTTTTTCCTTTTTGATAGCTGAGATTGGTTCGGGGGAAGTAGTAGATCATTTTGGTGAGGTCTGTTTCGCCGGAGCGTCACCGTCGGCGCATTTTGCGGCCGGTCAGTGAGGGCAGCGCCATCGTGAAAGGTTTGAGTCACTGACGGGTGGGGTCAGCCTGTCAGTGCGATTGAGGAAGAAGAACAGTGATGATTTTTATTTTCTGAATTTGTGAATAGTGCTAAAACTTTGGGAATTTGTAGGAAATTCATGATAGCTCCAAAAATTCTGAAATTTTGTGTGTAGCTTTTGTACATGCTCTAGTATGGTTTAAAATTTAAAACTTGAAATTTGAATCAATTTTTAATGTTCAAATATTCAGTCCATTAATTAATAAATGCAATTTCCATGATTTTTGTAGGCCGCTGTATAGCTCTAAAAATTATGAAATTTATTTTGGTACACTAATTTGATATGAGGAAGCTTATATAAAAGTTTGAGGTCATTTGGAACAAGTTTATTTTTGGGTTTATTTTAAATTAATTAAAAATTTAATAAAAGCGACCCTAATTGTT